TAAAGAAAAGGAAGGCAAATAAAATAATAAAATGACGTATCTGAAGAAATAGAAGGGAAATTGGATATGTTAGACTACTCTCTCATACTCTTCATCTCATTATTATATATCGAGAGAAGAATTCATTTTTCCAATCGATAAATTTATGAGTGAGATATTTATTTTTTTTTAGAACACATCAGAATAAAAATGACGAGGTATATAACATGTTCTTGCAATCAAATCAAATAGCTTATTGCATGTTGAATGAAAAATATTTATTCTATTCAATATCATAAAAATTTTTACTTTAATTATAACGAGTTGAATCATTTGATTAATATTATTTTAATCTTTTCAATTAATCATAGCAATGTGAAATAAAGTGATATTCAATTTTTAAGAGGTCTTATCACGGAACGAAATTAAGTAAACTGAATATTAAATAGAATAGAGCTATTTTTTAAATAAATTGAAAACAACTAGTCAATGGATTTGAGAAGTAATCACGAGAAGATGATAAATCAGAAGTTCACTGAGCTATGGATCTGTAAAAATAGAGATAATAACCATTTTGCACTTCTACGAACTTAGTGGATAATCGATTGGAATACCGCAAAAAATTGATTTAAATTAACTTGTCATCATATTTTTATAAATCGATTAAAAATTCGGAAAACTGTTTGATCTGCAGTAAGGTGGATTAGCAGAGAATATGATACCAAAGAGACGTTGGTGAAGGAGTTGGAGGTTCTGCAGGAACTCCTGCCACTAATAGAGGCAGTTCTCAGATTTATCGCTTACAATGCAGTAGCACTTCCTCTTACTCTTCACGTCTCTTTACCAATCAACTGTAGAGACGGCGTACTCGCTGCCGGAACTAAAAAGGAAACGCGTACCCGGGGCAAGTATTGGGCTGCATACCAACGACCCAAGTCCACTGCAGTACCTTGTCTATAGTCCTAACTTTGAAACTCTATTGGTGAAGAGAGAAGGAGTTGATAGGTGTTCAATTCCAGTTCTTTGGTTACCTATTTTTTTATTTATTTTTTTCTTTGAATCTTTTGCTATACTGAGATTTTGCTTCAGAGTTTTAAAAATCTTTCTTCAAGAAAATAACTCTCTCGAGGAGTACCTCGGTTACATCTATTTAATATTTTTATCGATATGAAAAGTTAATCCTGCACAATTCAATTAATGTCATCACTAAGATTAGGATTCGATTAGATATACAATATTTTTGATAGGAATTTAAGAGATAACAGTTGATGACAAAAATAGATATTGCATAAAACTGACTATTGATTTGACTAAGAAGAGAGCAATAGAGAAATTATATCACTTTATCTTATTTTATGTAATTAAATGCTCTATTCTGCTTTGTAAGATCGTATTGCAAAGCAAGATGAAACTATGCGTTTATTAGCACTACGTCTTTAGTGTATTCTGTTGCCTGAAGCAATCTTGAGCTTGGGTACATCTTAGTTTATATAAAGGAAACAAGGCCATTCACTTAGATACTTCAAGGATCTGGCGTACCCTTTAGCTAAAATTCATCTTTGAGTTATGCTATTGTCGAGTTCGAACCTCTCTGAAACGTGTATTCTACGCTTCAATTATTATATACAATGAGATCAAATATTATTTGTTGGTTATGAAAATTCATCAGAACTTACGACGAAAAAAAAAATGTAGAATATTTTTTAATAAAGTTTATTAATGATTATTCCATGATAATAATAAGAATTGTCGATGTGTAATAAATAATATTGAATTTATCAAAGAAGAAAAGCAAATTCAAGAAGCAGTAAAAAACGATCGTTCACTTTTATCATATTTATGACAAAAATCCTTTTTGATGGTCTATGATTTTGTTTTCTCTTTAATGGATTTTGTACTCTCTAGTCTTTAGACTACAGAATATTTTTCATTTCTCCGATATTATATCATTCTGTTTCGCTGTGTGTAAATATATGCATGACAGAATTTTTTCAAGTATTGAGAAAATCATAAATAAGTAAAATACAAAGTTGTTTTGCAAGAAATAAAAATTTTTAAAGCGCATCTCAAAGCTTTAACGAATTCTCTATCCTTTTTTTTTCAAAAAAAAAAGGTTACATTCGAAAACGTTCTACAGTTTTCGTTCTTTGTATAAAAGAGAAAGTTACGACAGCTTACAAAGTATATTATAATATAAAAAAATGGTACAATTCTCCAAAAGATTTCAAAATAAAATAATGAATATAAACTTCATCCTTTTTATATTATTTATTTTTATCTTGGAGAAAATTTCAGCTACATTTTCTTATTTCTATTAAAATAAAACTATTCGAAGTTTAATAAAAAAAAAATTTTAATTATAATTTATGAAAATTCAAGACTCAGATAATTGAAACAATGTTTTACAAAAACAAAAAAAAAATGTTCCATAATATTTTGTTAAAAGCTCAAATACAATGTTAAAGAAATTAGTTCTCCACTAAATTCATGAAATGAAAATGAGGTTAAATAAAATATAAAAATTATGATAATAAAGTAGGGAAAGAAACAATAGCAATGTCATGAACGATACTTTTCTGTTGGTTTTTTCCGCGACTTCAGTATAATGACCAACATTTCCTGGATGTTTGCAATTTCACAACTTTAGTCATAAACGTTTATTTGGATTGAAGACTATCAAGTTGGCCCAAGTGTGTGAGCATGACTTTGCAAGCAGTTTACATGCAAATTGGTATAAAAGATATCGCTGAGGATTTAAGTTCTGATGGTTCCGGTGTCTTGCTATAGATCTTAAAGTGTGCGCTGCTGTAAAAGTACTACTTGGTGCTATAGCTTGCGAAAATAACGAGTCAGAGAATTTATTGGTAATGGCTGAGAAAATTCGACTACATCCGTACAGAGTACGGTAATGTCTCCAAGGACCAAGTTGTGCAATTTTCGGTTGTAGATATCGCAAGCTCAATTCAGAATGCAAATTTTCCGCATAGAAAGATATTGTTTGACTTTTACAAACGAACGTGTTTGATAACGAATTTATTTTATATATTATTTCTATCGACTTTGTTATATTCAAATAGTATATCTTGAGTTTTGCCTTTCACCTATTTTGTATCTCCACTTTTACAGATAAAACCAGATTTTTTGAATCTATTTTTCAAGAAGCTCATTAGCGGCTCTTCCGCCATATAGCTGCGTATATTTTTCAAGAAATTGAGCCTCTGTCGAGATACAAATCCGTTCATAAATTATTCTATACTATAATTCACTATATTATGCTATGAAAAATTTTCCTTTACATTTTTATCAATAATATTTTTTTTCTATCATCATTTTAATGGGAGAGGATTTGCATATTATCCGGACAAAAGATTATCAGACAGTTTACAGAATTTCTATGTAATTAAAGTATATTTATAGTAATGATCAAATCGAGACAGGCTATATGTGTATACTAATAGGAAATTCTCTCTTCGTGTATAGATTGCTCCTAAATAATGCAATTTCTCCGTTGTTCAATAGAAAGATGTTCCATCTGAGATGTAGCTATCTATATACATACGTAGGATGTTGAATGATAGAGACCTTTGGAGGCGTTGATATTGCCAGAAGATTGCATTCAAATTGAAGACTTCAACTTTTCAACTACATCAAGTGTTTATTTTTTTTTTTTTTTATTTGATTTGATTTTTTAGCCTTTCCACAATTTTCAATGAGTTAATAACTATCAAATTGATGCAAAAGTTTTATTCGATTCTCTTGAAAAAGTATTCTATTCCATTATTATTATTTTTTTCATAATAAACTAATTACACGACATTCGTTAATTAATACTTGCATTGAGAGTTGAAAAATAATTAATTATCTAAAATTGGTAAAATTTGTTTTCGAATATTTTTTAAATTACAAATCAATAAAATATTCACATTTTATAATCTACCTCTCAACAAAACTCATAAAAACGAATTTATGATCATTGCTATTTATTTGAGTGCTTAATAATAAATAAATAACAATTTATTTCAATTTTACTTTGATAATATTTTCGACAACGTTAATCTACTTTTCCATGACTTTTTATCAATGTGTGTATAATAATAATTATTCCATTAGTTTTATTAAATGATAAAGTTTGATAAGTTAACATTTCTGCATAAAAATAGTAACAAGCTATCTAGGCTTAAATCAATTAATTAGTTATCGTGAAGACGGCGGTAATTGGAGTCCGAGGATAGGGTGGATTTAATTATAAATTCCAACAAGGGGAAGGTAAAGGTTTCTCAAGTATCCGCAAACCACTGATAAGATTTTAAGAGCTTGAATACAGCCACAAATTGCATCATGGTTTCTTTATAAATAAATATATATATATATATATATATATATAATCTCATTTTTCTTTGATAACTCAACTTTGATCTAAGATATCTTTCCTACGATATACAGTTTATACTTTTCCTTATTTTATTTAGATCCTCTTACAGACAATTCTCATCTGCCCGCATTTTATCTAGCTCGAAAAAAGATTCACCAACTATTGGGAAACATCAAACTCTAATTTGATGCTCAAACAACCTTCTTTTGAGAAAAATAACAAAAAAAATCCAACGATAGGATAAAATAAAGGAGGAAATTAGATGAGAAAAATTTAATTAAGCCAATAGTTTTAGAACCATTTATTCTCTTTAGCATAAAGTACGTAAAGCTTGATATTTTCAAATAATTAAATGAGTTATTTATCAAATGGAACATTTTTGTAAAACTTGATCAATTTTTGACGTAGATTGGAATGTGCTGACGAATGTCTTTTTTAAGCCAAAATAATCAAATGAAATCGATGGAAGTAAGCACGAGGTTTTGCACGTTTTTCTCTCAACTCTCGAGGTCACGGACTGGTCGTGCAACCGGAAACGTGACCGTGAACCTACTTCGTTCCACTTGAATGCTGTCTTTCCTCCTCCTTCTTCTTCTCATCGTTTTGCTTCACTGTAAGTTGCAATCACGCTCTCAGAGAGTCCAGCTAAACACTAGTCTAGTCTCTTAAACGATCTGGTCACGACGCTTACGACAGAAGATATTCGAATGGGAATCAGCACCATTACATTATCGGATATTATACGGGAAGTGTGGTGCACCACACGAAGAACTAGTGTTTTGGAGGCTTCTGTAATTTACTGAGACGTTTGTGGTATTGAGTCTAAAGCTCTTTTGCTTCTCCAGTAATCCAAGACCACGAGTGGATTCACGCGGTTGAGTACTTAACAGCTCGACTAGTTTCTATACACCTACCATTGAGCAAGTCTTTTAACATCACCGTAGTTTATCTTTTATAAGTAGCTGTGAGTTTTGTGGTTAAATTTATCTTAAATTTAAATGGTAATTCAAATGTTTTCACATATCGTACCGGATATATAGTACATAACGGATCACTGGAAATATCGTCAAGTTTAATGGCTGGTACTGACACACCATCCTTGGGATTATCTTCAGCGGTTTCCTTACCCATGATCCTGTAAGTCTTTTATACTTTGTGAAATATCGTCTTTAAACGTTAGATGTTCAGTTGGGTAAACTTTGCCAGGTGAAATTGCTAGGAAAAAATGGATCCTATTTTTGAGGTAAATTTAGTTTTCCATAAAAAGCGATATTAAAATTTTTTTATTCACATAAAATATTGGTAATACTTCTTACTATTAATAACACAAAATTATCATGAATTTTCAGTAATTACATTGAATTTCAAAGCTAACAAATAGAGGGCTGAAATTCATTGGATATTTACTCAAATAAATGAAGTTAATCAAAGAGTAATTTTAGAAAGTTTTATTGAAAATGAAAGAGATAATGAGGTTAATATATTTTTAATGATTGAAACCGTTAATTGATTATCAACAGGAGGTGTTATAATAGAGATAAATGATAATAGTGCGAGAATATCTGTTTGATTCAGATAATAATAAATTGTTTGTGCACATCTGCGAGTATTTCATGATTCCAACAATCAGCAGATTTCTCATCATATTCGTGCATGTCTCTCTTGCTTCACTTCCATCCGGTTCATGTCATTCAACATGAAGGATATGTATAAAATTGGTTATATATACGCGAATGTACATTTAAATAATCATTGGCTAACACTTCATGCGTTTCATTCGACTTTGCAAAGTTTTACTGTCTCCCTCACACATTTGCAGCTCAACTTTGTTGGTCAGACATGCGGATTTGCGATGCTGACGTTGAGATAAACAATCCGCTTACGCATCGACTATGGTTTCCACTGTTGAATTCTCATCTATTCGCAATCCTGTTAATTTCGACATTTTCACTTATAATCCTATTATTTGCCATATTTCATATTCTCCATTAATCTTCGTTGGAATTTTTCAAAAATATTGATAATTATTTGTTCATTTATGTTTATATTCGACATATTTTTCACTACTTTCTTCCATGAGTTTGTAAGAAGATTAACAAATTGTACATTTTGAGAAACGCAAAACCGCAACTGACATTACGTAGAGATAATTTGTAATGGTTTGAAAAACTGAAACAAAGTTTTACTCTCAGTTGCAAAAAATAAGCGTGACTTATCTAAATTATTACAAACAAAAGTTTATCGGTCTTAAATATCAGTGACTTTATTCATACTGTTTACATCACATTTTACCTAAATGTCAAATAAATCATCTAGGAAACATCATATTTTTATTAAAAAAAAAAAAATATCCAATATAAATTGGAATTGTTTATTATTCATTTTCTATTATTAACATTTCTATCTACATTTTACAGTGACATGACAGTCAAAACAAGTATGACCCATATTCTGAGAAAACTTTCAACTCTATCTAATCTTTCGAAAAGATTACTTGTGATTCTATTTGCCACAAATTTCACGTAGAAAAATTATTCAAATGGATACGGAGAAGAGTGTGAAAAAGTAAGAGTGAACGAGAGATATATTTAAAGTAGAAAAATAATGTGGGATTTAAAAGTGTAAAAAGTAGTGTGATTGTTGTCAAGTGCACGTGGAATTTCCAATTGGTATATACATGTTTCTTAAAAGATGTGTGTGGAAATGTGTAGCACTTTAAGTGAAATACGGAATTCGTCCAGTCATGAATCACTGATGTAGAATTCAGCTGGCTACGATTACAGAAGTCAAGCACGCGGATCGTTTGGGGGGTATCCCAAGGGAATTTCAAGTCAGACGAATAGCAAACTTTTCTCTTTCCCTTTTACTTTTTCCGATCCGCTTTTCGTCTTTTATTCTTCCTGGCAATAATCCAAAAACTGTCTCTTTTCCGCGGCAACTTGCTGTGATTTATGTACGAGCATTTTCCTTGTTTTGGTTTATCCTTCAATCTGCATTATTTGTTTCTTCTTTCAGTGGAGTATTTCTGAGCATATCCCACCTTGATTGGCTTGTCAATAGTCCATACAATTTAGTATCCATCGATATTCAAACCATGCCATATACTTCTGCACGTACCTGAACCATATAATGTCCCTCGCTACATTGAAATAATCAAATCCAAGTGGCTCATACAGATTGGTTATAAATGTGCTCGCGGTTTCTTGCAAGATGAGATTCATAGAGCCGAGACGAGCCCAATTGAGAAATAGCTGTCAATTACGTGGTTACCGAAACCTCCAATTGCGAAAGCTTCATAACACAGTGTCCCTCTTGCTAACTTTTACGAAATTACTCTTTCTCTTATTTCCCAAACATATAAGAAAATAATTACATTACAAGCATAAATTACCACTTTATTACCTTCATTAAAATATCAAATGATTTTTTCATTCTTTTTCATTTAAACCAAGACCTTAATAATAAAATTCCTCATCTCTGATTTCACATGATCAGTTTACAGTTATATTTTTCAAAATAGAAGAAAGTTTCTGATGTCTCCCGGAAGTGTTTTTATGCAAGATGACCCAATCGGTAATTTCTTGACAATGATCAAGCGCATCTAGTAAGAACAGTCTTGATCATCCTCATTATAGATGGACGCCTCCTCGAGACATTAGGAAAAAAACAAGACTTTCACAATTGGAAATCATAGAAGCGTTCTTCAAAACCGGTTTTATAAGAGTCTGATGACGTTTGTGTTGAAGACTTTTTCGCGTCCTTGATTCATGCGTCTTCCTAACCTAGAAAAAAAAATTATCGACATTAATACCAGGATTACCTTTTCATTAACTTGGCAATCAATTAGTTAAGTGAATTATTATTCTGTTAATAATCTAATAAGGAAATTTATCGAGGTACATTAATTTTAACATGGTTCAGAGCCACTTAACGATATTGCCTAGACAATAAATATTTTATTTTTTCCCCATACGAGGCGTTGTGACGATTTATCGATTGTCCAGCATTTATTTAGGAATGCCACGTGCTATATACCACCTGGCCATCTGTGTTACCTATTTTGTGGTCTTGTGTATTGTATTTCATGTTCACTACATACACAATCGTTCATTTTTATTTACGCATGTACGCAATGACGATTGTATAACAACACCTGAAGCTAGAATTTGTGATAAATCAAGCATTGATAAAATCATTTGTTTCATTTTGGAATATTTTTAATTTTATTAACGATAATATTGAATAGAGAACAAATAAAAGGTAGATTATTGGTAGGAGGAAACAAAATTTTTGATACATCATATAATGTAAGCCAAAAGTCTGCAGATATTAACCTGTTCGCAGCTGCGGTTGGTGGATCATTTTTTTTTTAAGATAAAAAATCGTCGATAACCTAGCACGTGTATCGATTCTTCATTCTCCCACGGGAGGTGGCTTCTATGACCGTAAAAGCTCAGCTTTACAATGCCACTCGGTGTTCTGCTCTTGCTCACCTTCTTTCTCTTTTCCTCTCGTCTGTTACCTTTTGCAAACGTGCGCAAGAAAATTCCCGTTTTCTGTAGGTCTCTCGGGTGTGCGCGGAGACTTTGCAAGTTCTATGGGATAAAGAAGGCAACGGGTCCTTTGGATTATGCCGGCATAATTTATTATACAGCTAACACAGTAAAGCGACAAAAAAATAAACAGATAAAAATCTGAAAAATTTTCCATTAGACATTTTCAATAAAATTGACGATAAAATGGAAAGTATATAATATTTGAGATGTTGGTGATGGTGTGGAAAATGGCTTTGTATATGTCACATTGCTCGTGGATGTCTCTTGGAGGTCATCTCTGTCTAAGAGGTCACGTGTCTTAAAGATCTGAGGCTGACGGCATTGGGAAAGTGTGCCGTTGAAAGGTCAGCACAACGTAGAAGCGTGCTTCTGAGTCCATCGATGCCTTTTACCTCAGAGGGGTTGTGGAAAGAGGATAAAAATTATTAGAAGCCTCGAGCTAAAAGACGATGGAAAGATGCTGGTACTACACGATGCGGATTCTTAAGTTTAAGTCTGCGAAAGGCTACGCGATCACCTCGAGGCCACGGAGTTTCAAGAGAAATAATTCTTCCGCAAAAACCGGTTGAGTCGTGCAGATAACTCGATCTCTAACCTTCTCGCGTACCTTAGAGTCTTCTTCGTGATGGAATTCATTCTACTTATACCAGGGAATTGATCGAAATAATTATATACTGATATATTTATATACAATAAATAAAAAATCTGTTAAAGGATGTTTACACATTTTTTTTCTCAGTATTATGTAGCATTTTTATAACATTGTAATCCAGGTATTTATCTCTATTATTGTCTTTTATAATAAACTTATACTCTGCTATATTAGGCTCTCTCAATTTCCTAACAGAGTTTCCCTAATTCAGACGGATTGTGGTCGCAAAATGTCTGATTTCAAAATAACTCTCTGGCAATTTTCACTCAAGTAGAAACAGCAACATTGCACGCATCAAGTCTTCGTACAACGTGATACACAAACGTGACAAGGGTTGCGCACAAACCCGACGTAATTAGTCTAATTTTGTGGTCGAGCAGTCATCACTATCAACAACTCACAGGGTGTTGAATTAAGATAAAAGCATTCGACCAATCCAATAAGATTGTAAAATTAGTTGAGACAGTCGATAATTATTTTTCCCCACAAAAAGCTATTTATGGAAATTCTCATTTTTCTGACTTCCAATCAAATATTCCCCTTATGGGTTTTTTTCCATCAACTTATTATTGATTCTTAGTGATGGAAATAATTTTGTTTGACCAAATTTCCACAGGAAAAAATGATATAAGTACGAGAGTCGTTGAAAAAAAATTGTTTTATTTGCATATAATTAAAGACCAACTTGATGAATGTTGCATAATAACGATTTGTTTTCTCTCAAAAAATATTTATTCAGTAAATTGCATGAGAATAAGGTTAAATTAACAATTATATTTAATTTCTAATGAAATTCGTGAACATGTATGTGTCTACATATATTAAAAACAAATGCGGATTATTTAGTTACGAATTATTCAGAGTTTATTTTAACCAAACATGAGATATTTTCGTAAATAAAAAAATTGTTGACACTAACAGAGTTACCC